ATCACGAACAGACTACTGACAGATCACTAACAGACTACTGACAGATCACTAACAGACTACTGACAGATCACTAACAGACTACTGACAGATCACTAACAGATCACTAACAGACTACTGACAGGTCTATCACTAATAGACTTCTGACATATCACTAACAGACTACTGACAGATCACTAACAGACTTCTAACAGATCACTAACAGACTGCTGACAGATCACTAACAGACTACTGACATATCACTGAAAGACAACTGAAATATCAATAACAGACTACTAACATATCACTAACAGACTAATGACAGATCACTGATAGAGTACTAACAGATCACCAACAGACTACTGAGAGATCACTAACAGACTACTGACAGATCAGTAACAGACTACTGACAGATCACTGACAGACAACTGACAGACAACTGACATATCAATAACAGACTACTAACAGATCACTAACACAGTACTGGCAATTAAATTCCCTAAAAGACTTACATCAGACCACTGACAGGCTCCCTTCAAAGTGCAGCTTATGATGGCTGCTTTTGAATGCTCTTCACTCACTGTCTTATAGCTCTTGTGTAAGTCTTACTATTAATAAACTTAAGTGCAAAACAAGTTCACACACCTTTCAGCAAGGTTTTTCTTCATGATATGAAATCTTTCACCAGAAATTGTAGCCTGCACAGTTCCTCCGCCGTAGTAACAATTACGTAGAATGTATGAGCTACTGTTCCTAACAATAAGAGCACCCAAACCAGTTGGAAAACCAAACATCTTGTAAAAGGAAATGGGAACAAAATCGGCAGTACAAGAATTTAAGTCCAAGGGAGAAGTGCTAACAAATGAGGATGCATCAAGAACAACAAACCAATGACACAGACAACTGCTACTGAATAGAGATCGTTGTTGAGTTTGGGAAACCCATTCTAAAGGGTACTTTCTCCCTGAGAAATTACACATTGCAGGAAAGGCAAATAAGTTGTGGCAACAGTTGACATATTCTTTCACAAAGAAATCATCAGTTTCATCTCCATTGCCCAAAGAATCGACTTGTTTCAAATGTAAATGATCCTTTGTCCCTCCACTTGTGAACTGGAGTTGCTCCAACAAGTCTTTCTCAGTGATACAGATAACTTGTGCTCCACTTAAAGCTGCTCTTTCCCTGATACCAACCACTGATGTATGATTCTCGTGAAGATAACAGAAACGACTTCTGCGAGAGCTTTCCTTGCTGAATGCTGCCTGCCAATCAAAGCTCTCTGCCAATAGTTTTAAAGCAGCAGTAGCACCAGCAGTAAAAATCACAGTGTGCTTTTCACAGGAGGTATTAAAGTGCTTTAAAATTCTGCTGCGAACCTGCTCCAGAATATCACTAGACAACTGACTGCTAGGGTTCCTGCTGTGTGGATTCCCATAGACATTACTGGTTAAGTCATTGTAAACGCTTCTTATAACACTCTCTGGATACTGAGTTGTTCCAATATGATCCAGGTAGGTGATATCTGAGAGATACAATTCAGAAATATCATAGATACATGCAGCTTCATTTAACTATATTCAAGATCACAAACCTCCTTTAGGATTTCAATGAAGATAAAATTGCGCAGCACACTGATTCTTAAGAACAGATTTACGTGTACTTTTTATTGAAAAAAGAAAAAATTGAGACCTAGTACTCCATTCAATGTGTGATTGGCTTTCTTATTGCTAGAAGGGTGAAATGACTCAAAGGGTATGTACACTGCTGACTGGCATTTGTTTAGAGGCTTCTGAAAGGTTGAATATTGCATTACACTTGAAGAAATATTTCTATAGAGAAATAAATCCAGAAAAGAAATGCTACGATCACTAGTACAATAGGTAAGCTTAAGGTAGCCGAATACAGTTTTCGCGTGCGCTTTTGCTGATGTAATTCAGCACATGCACAAGGGTTGCAAAAAACAAACATGCCATCAATAGAGAGATCATTTTATTTGCCCAACACCCGCAGTATCTGTGCTATTTTTCTCTATAATTGAACGCAGTGTATTGATGGTTTTAGTCTTTTATTACAAAGATATGTTAGAACAGGTAACGATGCAAAGAACCCAGCAATTTTCAGCTTTTTCTTTCTTACTGAAAGAACCCAGTTAAATGCAGCGCATGCGTATTAAGTCAAAAAATTGCAATTGAATGAAAAATTGCCCTCTTGGAAATATGCCTATTTCTCGAGAACCACTCATTAGAATTCACGAAATTTGGCACGAAAATACTTTAGGAAATAAGTAACTGGAGTATTGAAAATAATTGAACTTTAACAAAGGAAATTCTAGATATTTCAGTAAAC